CACGCTTTGATCTCGAAAATATTAAATTTTTAGAATGGTGCAGGTATCTACACCATGTATTTAAGTCGCAGTATTAGAACCATCGTCAAATCGTATGTTTGCGTAAGTTTGGTCATCACGTGTTTATTAAAATGTAAAATTTTCCATCATCGCACAATGTGATTACGATGTAATCCGTGGCTGATGAGACGTAAACACTTGATTGATAAACTAGAATAAATACTAAAAACCAAAACAGATTTTATATCTAATTATGTATATGTTACTTTAAATTATGTTAATCATACAATTAATGACATTTTCTAATATACAATAGTTATCAAACAAATCAGTAATTATATTAAACGATAGATCTATTGTTATCTGTAAAGATCATATTTAAAATACACATGTCAAACATTTGAGAAAAATAACCAATCTACAGAAGTTTTCGGTTCCTAGTGTCCACTTGAATAATTAATTGATGCATAATTTTTCTAAGAAAATTGCCGTACCTTCAAGTACCTTACACCGGTAAAACGATTAAATGTCGGTTTTAGTCGTGTACCGGTAATGACAGTAAAACAATATATATATTTGTGTACCAAGTACTTATTTTGGGTCATTAAATATTTTACATCGCCAAAGGTACAACAGTAAAAAGAAAAAAAAGACACAATTAACAGAATTAGTCATTTGATATTATGATATTATACATACATACATATATATTCGTTCCAATTTAATACGAAGCGGATTTTCACTTATTTTTGATCAAATATACTCGATTATTAATTCTTATAAATCAATATTCGCCGAATCTAGTTTTTTTTCGCCACGTGAACTAGTGTTGCTAGTAAGAAAATTGAATTTGGAAAACATTTTATCGCACGTTACGTCAGCACAGGACGTCCGTTTAGTCCAATCTTTTTCGCATAGCATGCGATCAGCCATGTTACTCTATGGGGAAATGTTGAGTTCATACATCAGACATTCGGTTTAATACCGGCGCAGAGGTGAACGTACGAACTGAATTATTTTACGTCTCAGACATACCACGGTAGTATCATACATCGATCGGTTGAATTTTCGAAGCGAAGAGAAATCGGAGAACGCATTATAATTTAATTGTTAAAAAACGATGGCAGTTCGAATTATGAAGTTTTATTTAATTAAAATTATAAAATGTACTTAAAAAAAAAAAATGATGTAATTTAACAGGTATATAATACGTTTTGTGAATCGTTAATCCACACATGAAGGGTTTCGGCTGCAGAAAAACTTCAAACGAAACTTACCAAGTTATAATTAACTTTTGCAGATAATTAATATTACTGATGTGGGTTGTTCTTATTTTCTTTTCTACAAAACAATGTTCGATTGTTTAAACCATTCTACACATATACATGTATAATATACTGTTACTAAATTATGGAACAATGAAAATTAATTAGCCTAAAATATAATGAAAAAGGAAAGAAAATCGTCAATATCAATCGGTATATATTATATTTTTGCTGCGATATATAGTTTTTATCGGCACTAAATTCTTGTTATAGGGAGAAATCAAACAATATGTTTGGTGCTTATGTTGCGTTTAAGATTGTATCAATAAGTTACCATATTTTAGGGGAATAGTTTACTAACGAATACCGATCGGTACCGATTAATACAAATCCCAACAGTACCACCAATAATAAAAATATGAATTAGTCAATTATGTTGGTGATTATACTTTATATCTCGTTGAAATGTCGCGAGACTTTTTTGTGTCCGGAAACTTTAAAATTAATATTGAATTAAATTCAGATACTGATATCATTGGTGTTATTATTTACCATATTTCGTAACACATTGACTAACGTATTACACAAAATGTAGGAAATTCAGGATATTTTATTACTTAAATTTAATATGATACAACATGCTATAACATATAATAGAAGTACATTATAAGTAATGTTGTATTTTTATAATTATATGTTTTTAAATTTTAACGCCAAGGCGTTACTATGTCAACAAATTTTCTATTTAAAATAACTTTCTCAATTATTATTTATAATTTTTTTTAACCAAATATTTTATTTGAGTAACAATTATATTTTTTCCATTGGTGATCATGATATATTTATTTTTATAAAAATCCAGAATTATAATTGTTTACTTCAAAGAGTTATACAAATACATGTTTAAAAATCGAATGTCAAATTAGTTAAATTATTTACAAGTTTTTGAAATGTACTGAACTTATATATTAAATTACATTTAAATACTTAATGTTAGTTTAAAGTTATTTGCTGATATATTTTTATTTATTAAAAATTTAAAAAAAAATTATCTCGAAATATGAAATAAAATATAATACGATGTTATTTATTTAATAAGAATATATAATAATACGGTATTTTTTAATTGTAAAAAAGTTAAACAATTTGATATAGTAAAAGTTAATTTGGTTTTCCGAAAATTTGGTGTTTTTTTTATTTAATTACATTGAGTTCTATCAACACTTTTTTAAAAGTATACCAAGGAGAAAAGTGATTAACATTAAACGAATCTACTTGAATACAAATAGTTTTTAAACTTCTTAATACTCGAGGTAATTGAGGAATATTCATTAATTAAGAATACATTTTTTTAAATGTTTTATAAATAGATACTAAAACATCTGTAAAGTAATCAGATAGATGTTTTACCAAAATCGTTTAAAATGACCGTTATATTTTTTTTCACATTATTTTATAAAAATATCACATTCTTGAAATCCATTCCTGTTAAACTTATTCATTTTAAAATGTCCATTAAAAAACTCTCATTCATTAATTTATTGTGGTTTGCATTTTGTACATTTATATACTTTTTTTTTTTTTTAATTCACTAAAAAATATACAACGAGCTTGAAATCGAATTCACTTAAAAATAAAATCTACTAAAATCGATTAAATATATCTTATCACATCATGTGTTGGCCAATACGATGCATGCACTGAATACTAATTATAATTAAAATCAAATTATTCTTATTTTTTTTCTTCAGAGCAAATTTTAAACATAATTTGATTTAAATATTTAAACCATGTCACGAATTAGGTGATTTGAATCAATACTTGCGTGACGTTGGATATTTAATTTTTTTTACTTATTTATTGATGTGAAAACATCTTTACGGCGCTCAGATCTTTCCGCTTGGATAGTGAAAATTTTACCTATTATATTATTAAAAGGAGAAGCGATTTTTATAACAATTATATCTGAAGTTCTACTGGACCTATTAACATAGTTTTTTTTTTTTTACTTTGTTTGCAGATGAGCCATCTAATGTTATATAAATTAATTAATTAAATAGTTATTAGAAATATTAATTTGTTAATCTTCGTTAATCGTATTGACTTTGAAAAAATATAATTCTAAAAATGTTCAATCCTATTCTACAAATAATATAAAAGCACGTGTTTTACATTTATAATATTTACTTCAAATTCTACACAATAAATCTATATTTCTAAGTTCATATATATATTTTTACATCTTCCTAGAGTCGTTTGTGATACTTTCTAGTTTTTTTCATAAAAACCAAATAATTAATTTTTTTGCAGACAAAATTTTATACACACGTGTTGAGTTCAATTTATCTTAACAAGTGTGTATAAAATGTTGTCTGTATCATAATCGTAAATATTTTCGTTTGATATTCAACTGTTATGAATTGTTCCTACGAGAGGAATGCAACTGAATTAATTACAATACTTTCAAAAATAATACAAAAATAAATATACATATTAGTAAATATAAATATGTGCTCGTTAGATAAGAGTATTAACAAGAAAAAATGTTCATAAAAATGTATAATATGCAAATAACATTATAAACAAATTAACGGATTAGTTATATCAAATCAGCTACACCAATTACATTAGAGTAAACCAGAATTTACATAATAGAAAGCTAAATATATATAAACACAATATATTTTCTAATGTTTATGTATAATATTTGCACAATATATATAATATATGTAGATGTAGTATAATATATGTAATAGTATTATTTATAATATTATCATGTAGTGCGTATTTTCATATGTCCTAAGGTTAGAATCCAGTTGATTTTTATTCAAATTAAATTTGAATTAAACTTAAAATAAAATTTAAATTAAAAATTAAATTGTCGGCTTGTGATTACTATAAAATGAAATAATAATTAAAATAATATATCAACTGATTTTGAATATTTTATCTAAGCTGCGTTCTCTCAATTCTTATTAATGTGGAATAGTAGCATGAAATCCTTACCAATTGAGAATTAAACATGTACTAAATATGTTGTTATAACGTTGCGTACTTCCTTAATATTAAATACAACTCCCTCACATGATACTGTTTCTTTATCTTCATCACTCGATATACAAGCACATGGTTTTTGGCATCTTTATTCCTACTCTTTTTTCATTGGTACCTAATTATACTTTCTTAATAGCTTTTAGGATATATCTAATCTTTTCTTCTATTTCTAGTATTTATTTTCGTGTTTTGCTTTCTATTTCACTAAAAACTAACAGTGAACAAATCAACAATGATGTATAGTCACGATATATATACAGTAAAACTTCGATAAGACGGAACTTCGGTAAAACGGAAACTCCGGTAATACGGAAAATTTCTTTAGTCCTTTTTTAAAATACATATAAATGTATCCCGCCAAGACGGGAACCTGGCCAAGCCAGAAACGGACACGTTTCTGTATTAAAATTGGATAAAATCTCTCACTAAGACGGAAATATAACATAAAAAAACAAACTTAGAATAATCGTCAAATTTATTTTCGTATTGTCGAAAACTCGATACTCACGATAATTGCTATACGTGCGCATACTTTGTCCAATGACATTAAAAACTAATAAAATTGATATGTATACACTATACAATATTATTATCTGAGTTGTCTTGTTCAGTATCAAATCGTGTATCATTCGCGTCGTTTGTTTTTTCATTTTCATTTACATTTTCCGTCTTTAGTTTAAAATGTCGAAAAAAACAACTCTTACGCTATCGAACAAAATAAAATTAATCGAGTTAAAGCAACAAGAAAATTTTTCAGTGAAGGATCTTAGGGTGAAATTTAAGTGTGAAAAAACGCACGTTTATGAAGCGATAGAAAATAAAGACAAACTAATGGAGCAATGGATGAGTTGTAAAAATTCTGGGAAAGGTAAAAGAGTGGTGTCTGTGGAATTTGAACAAGTTGAACGAGATTTGTATAGGTGGTTCATCAGTGGTCGGTCGAAAAGTTTGCCCATCTTTGGACCTATTCTACAAGCAGAGGCAACTAAATTGGCAGAAGAACTCAGAACCAGTAATTTTATGGCTTCAAATGGTTGACTTGACCGGTTCAAACGATGGCACAATATCGTCTACAAGCAAATCAATGGAGAAGCAAATGACGTAAATCAAGATACAGTTGAAAAGTGGAAACACAAACTCTCAGTTATTATTGAAGGGTATGAAGCTAAAGACGTTTATAATGCCGACGAAACTGGTCTTTTTTTCAGAGGGATCCCCACCAAGTCCTTAGTAATAAAGAGCGATGTGTGTGTTGGTGGTAAAAAATCTAAGGATAGGTTAACTGTGTTGATGTGTGGGAGCATGGCAGGTGAAATTAGGTAGCCTCTTGTTATAAGTAAATCGATGAAACCTCGTTGTTTTAATAATATGAATATTGCTTCATTACCTGTGACTTGGAAATTTAATAAAAAGACTTGAATGACGTCAGAAATAATGGAACAATGGCTACAATATCTCAATGCAGATATGCGATCACAAAACAATTATTATTTTTAGACAATACGACATGTCGTTCATACATTGAATTGTCTAATGTGAAAATTCACATGCTACCTCCAAACACCACGTCGGTTTCTCAACCGAAGGAACCAAGGAGTTATTTACACCTTTAAGTCGTACTATCGTAAATTTATGCTTCAGTCGCTTGTAGGTAAAATGGATAGATATACTTTGGTTCACCAGCTTGCTAGTTCGATAACTGTCTTAGACGCTGTAAATTGGTTTTCTTTATCGTGGAATAGTTTTAAAAATGAATGTGTTAAAAACTGTTTCCGTAAAGCTGGATTCTTGAATGATGGATCAGACGTGAATTCCAAAGAGAATGCCCTGATTGAAATTCAAGATATCATTGTTACGTTTGATATTGACTCGGAAGAATTTCTTCACATTGATGACTAACTTGAGAGGCAGCAAACTCATGATTCGGTTATATCCATGGTTGAGAACAGGGTTGGACTAGCTTTATAGCTCGGCCCGGGCAAAATAATTTCGAACGGCCTCAATGGAACTTTATAAGTAGGTAGGTACCTGATCAAATTATTGTTTAGCTGAAAATGTATCTTCGTAACTCAAAAAACAATATTCACACAAGTACATTTGAATATATTCAGATTTAATGTTATACCTTAAATAAATCTAGTTTACGCATAATGTATCTTATCTATAATATTGATATAATGACCTACCTATTAAGATAAATTTTACATCATAAAAAATGATTTGATTTAAATATGTTCATACATTTAATTTTAATTGAGTTAGAACAGTGGGGTCGGCAACTAATGTCTCTTTTATGCGGCCCACAGTAAATTTCAAAACTAGCAAATGTCATTGAATATTATATACATTTTTTATATTATCTGGCTCTAGAACCATTTTTAATTTGTGAATGTGGCTCAAAGTTCCATTAAGATTGGAAACTAGTAACAGACTTGTTATTGACTGAACGTCAAAACTATTAAAATGTTTTTGAATAAGTCTAATAAATCTTATATAACATAAATTATTACTATCGAAAAACAATTTTGTTAACGCATATCTTGCTTGACAATGTCTACCCATACCATGGTCTTAGAAAATTAATCTTCTAAGACCATAACCCATACCAACATTTTATTTTAATAATTGTTTGAACAAACGTGAACGGTACTTCGTATGATTAACATATTGTACACATCTTTTGTATTCAAATTTCCTACAATTTTTCTATTTATAAATATTCTGATTATATCATTGTTATCAATTGCCCTATCGCGACATTAGAAATGTTAAATTTTTAAACTCCGAGTTACCTAATCCTGTGTCACCGCATCCATTAGTAATGTCATGTTACAAGACGATATTTTTTATTTTATTTTACGAATAGAAAATAGACGCATTAAATTAAAAACAAAAAAATCTAAGTAATTTTATTTAACCAAAATTACAGCAGCCCACCGGGGCATGCCCCGGTGCCCCGGTGGCCTAATCCAACCCTAGTTGAGAATGAAGATGAATAGGACGAAGACAATGACGAAAACCAATATGACGAACCAGAAAATCTGATAAAAGATTACAAAACTGCCATCTGGTACCTCGAGAAACTACAACAATTTTCCCTCACAGTGTCCAATAGTAAGCTTTTGGATTTAAATTCGACAGCCAAAAGTGTGTGGAACGTGATGCCTTACGGAAAAAAAACAAAAACCAATAACCGATTTTTTTCAAAAATATAATAATTATTAATGTATACTGGCTAAAAATAAATATTAAAATATAAATATAAAATTTAATTAAAAATATAAATTGTATTATGTATATATTGGTTTAAAATAAATAATCTTTATTTTAATTCAATTTAATTTGTTTGAACCCCGTCAAGACGGAAACCCTGTAAACACGGAAAAATTGCATGGTCCCAAGCAATTCCGTCTTATTGAGGTTTTACTATATATATATATATATATATATATACATGATCAATAAAAATTATATTAATTAATTTAAATATTTAGATTAATTCTTAAGAATTTATGGCGAAGTTGGTTAGAAATATATAATAATAACTGAAATTATTAAACTCACTAAAAAAGTTTTAGTGTTATCTGATACAATAGGATTATTATTTTTTATTTTCAAACTAACTTTTAGGTTTTTTTTCTTAAAAAAAAATCTCACTCTGTGGCTGTACATTTGTGAAGCAAGACATTTGGTTTGTAAATCTACATTTTTGACGAAGAAAATAAATTATCATTGTTATTGTTAAACGTCCATTGAGTCCATCTGATTTTTATAGAATATACCAACCCAAACATGCAATAATATTGTGTAAAGTGTATTGCGACATTATTAATAATAATAATAATGATTCGATTACCTTTTATTTTTAATATTTTATTTATTTAATAATGGTTTTGATTTAATTAGAAATACATAATTTTTTTCGAATATTTTACCTTTGCTAAAATTTATTATTATTATGTGAGTTAGAAATATAGCAATGTTAAATACAAACTGTTTAAATACGAGTATAAAACTATTTAAAATATATATTATAAATTATATCATACTTGATGTAACAGATAATTGTTGTTAACTTCCAAAGTGACTGATTATCATTAGCCATTAATCATTATAACACATAAATTAAAGTTGACCAATCCAACAAAAATGCAACAAAATTACGATATCTTGCTGGTTCCAAAAAACCATTACCTACTACTTAAAAATATCTAGAATCAAGATATCATATAGAACATATAAGTTGCGGTTATTCGTTTTAATTGTTATCCGTTAATCCGTTATTTTATCGTGGACTTTCATGTTCATTTGTCATATTTCATTGTTGATACGTGTATATAAGCAAATATTTTTGTTTAATGAAAATGGTTACTTGTTGAATTATTTTTTCTGTAAATAAAAAAACGTGTAAAATATGAGTTTACGATGAAAAATTAATTTAGTAGAATTTAAACTATTCTCCTGTTGTTTACCTATACCTTATTTAGTGTTAACTCCATAATACGTATGACATTATCACATTTAATAGTAAAAAAAAAAAAAAAATATATTGCTATTTGCGGATAATGCAAGTATAATAATATTGGAAATATTTTTCAGTAATCTAATTTTTGAACTTCAACTTGATCGTCCACTGGGAATACAATTCACAATTTATTTTATCGATACATATAATAATAGTATGGAATTATATAGCGCTAATCAACACGACATGACGTCAAGGTTCTGTTGTACACACCCACATATACACACGTGCACGTGAACTTGCACACACGTATTTTCTTCAATCCGAACACCCGATCGTATTATAAAATAAAGTTTATTTGGAGCTTTTGTGGACACAGTGGACAAATAATTGTATTTGTGCCCCGTTGATATACAATATACGGTTACAAAAATGTTTTTTTTTTTTCGTATCCATTAATTTAGATAAGGATTGAATTATGTTTTTGTTGTGTGTTTTTAACTTTTTTTTTTTTTTTTTGGAAGGATTTCATGGTCATGCACGTCTTCGAGTAAACATACGGAACGTGCACGTGATTTTCCGATATAAGCCGTACGCGTCGTCTCATCAGATGACAAATACATAAACGAGTATATGTTATACGCGATGATTGCGATAATTATGCCCGGGAGAGAGTTCATCCGATCGGCAAGTAAATGTATATTATTATATAACAATCGATTAGCTTTCGCGCCCTAGTTGTGTGCGTACGACAACACGTCCCTTCGCATAACAATTTTGCCCACTCGCGGTACCGTATGCCATACGTCGGCGTTTACCTACATGCCAACCATATCCGGGTGTACCGCAGGCACACACGCATGCATACGGTTACATCTCCATTGTTTACGTACGACCGTTGTTCGTATATTGTTATGTCGCCAGTGCACTCAGTTTAACTCAGTTTGCATGACGTTATATGTGTAAAAATATTGTACAGGGTCTTCTGGAAAAAAGGGGAAAATATGAAATCACTCTCACATGAGCACAAAAAAAAAAAAATATATATAATTTTATTGTTGAAAATAAAATCTACATCATATGGTGTTAAGTGCACTTTAGAGGTTGAAAAAATGTCATGATTTTAAATTGATGTCTGAATAAGATGGTGCGTATTTGTACGTGTACATTTCCGAAATTAAATATTGTGTATGGTGCTTTGCAGTGGCGGTTTTTGTAATTCTCATTTGGGGGAGGGGGTACTTAAATATTTTCTTATAATGTATTAAGACAGAAAAATGTTTTATCCATTATTAATTTATTACTTAGAATTGAATTCTTATGTAAACGAAAAAAACATTACGTAGCATTTCAAAAATGTTTAAAGTTACAAGACAAAATGCACTTTACGTTTTTTTTTTTATTGATTCTTCCAAAATTTCAACAGACGTTAGTTTCGAATCTTTGTGAATACACATCACAAATAAATAAAATGCATACAAATATTTTATATAATATATTTACCCTATATAAAATTATAAATAACACTGATTACACGGTGACTAACCGTTTATATATTTAATGTACTAATACATATTATATTCTTGCTCGTCTAAGTTAATATGAAAATAAAATATATTATAATTATTGATATAAATTTAATATTACAATTTCAAAGAATATGATAGAGTTTTAAAATAATTGATATTAAGAATAATTAAAATTTACATTCACGATACAAAATGATTTACTTAGATTAAATTTGAAATTAACTACATACTCGTATTATGTGTAAAATAATATGGATAAACACTTTGTAAATTAAAAAACAAAATAATTTAAAATATTTGTTACACATTTACTGATCTGAATTTTAAATATTTTTCAAGTTTAATTCACATTGACTTAACAAGCTTATAATTTAAACGTTTGATGGGCACGACGACTGAATGTTGAATAGTACATATATATAAGAATATTAGTTTATCGAAGTTAAGTAGGTACGTTCTTCGAACAACCGAACACTCTAATTAAATGTTATCGCCAGTAATAGATTTCATAAGTGACGTTATTTCGGAGAAAATATAAAAAAATATAAAAATATATAAATACCTAAATAGCCGTTACAAAAATTCAAATATTTTGATATATGGATGAAATCACCAGAATTATAATATACAAGCGTATATCCGCAAAAAAAAAAAACATAACTGCTAATTAAAACCCGAGAGTTCCAAGCGAATATCAAAGTGTACGTTCTAGACCTGGGTGAGGATTCCAACCCCCATGGACCCCCTGTAGAACCACCATTGGTTCTTTCCAACACCTCTGAAATCAGAAAATGGTGCAGGAGCTGAGACATTTGGACCATCAAGTGCGGTGGCTACAGTTAAGTAAAAAAATTATAGAAACGAATAATAACGATACAGATTATGTTGTCAACCTGATAATATTTAACGAGGCGTGATTCCAATTCTGTAATTTATCAACGCACAAATAAACTCTACATTACGGATATTGATTTTGGGATATGAAATTCTTAACATTTGGATCGCTCTAAATGTCGCGTATTGTATAAATTATATTTTCAGTAAAAAAAATATGGAAATATATTTATTTAACTACGACCGTGAAGGTTGTTTGAAATTTTTCTATTTTTTTTTTTTTTTTTTTTGACAGGCCCTGTATAATATAATTGTTTACATGCGTTTCGCAGGATGAAAAAACCCGTTTGGTTCTTGGTTTTTTTGATTTTCAAATTTTTATTCTCATACGCGTTGATAGGTTATTAAACCTTCGCCTTCCGATATTCGTGGACTTAGGTCACCACTGAGACAATATTATTTTTGCACGGAACTCAGCTCGACCACGTGTCACCGATTAGTCCCTCCCTGGAGGCCCACTTGAGGGGGGACCACAAAACGCGATGGGCCGCGCACAGATTTAATTTTACATTTTTTCCCTTTTTTCGCACCACCTTCCTCTCTGTCTCGCCCCGAATACCCGCTTATCATGCCCACGCGTTGTTTCCGTTTACCTCATGGTAATCGTTCATGCGCATGCGTGACCCTCATAAGCTTTCACGCGCCACCCAGAGGCTCACACGTGGACGCGACACGGCCAGTCATACAGTCGCGTTCGCTGCAGCCGCTAACACTTTGTCGCTGTTCCTTGCATATCGTCACTCAGTCGCCTTTTTTTTTTTTTTTTTGAACCACCGTCGTCAGACACGATAAAAAGGTACGTAGGCTTCTGCCATCTCGAAAACCTTAAATGTAGGATATTTTAAAGTGTTACAGTACTTAAGATATTCAGTAAAAAAAAATAATAATAATCTAAATCAGAAATTTACGGTTTAAGCAATCATTATGTATTTAATTTTATATCCAATGGTTGTTCGATAAAAAATTCGCCGAAACTATACCATTAATTTTTACATTTAATGATTGTAGCTAATAATTGTAGTGAACATATACATGACGTTTGTTCGAAGTTCGTAGTCGTTTTAAAATCGTGCAATATCATTGCGTCATAAAGTCCTACTAATTTCCATAGCATACCGCGTGCATTTATTTGTTTATCATACATTGTTTTTTTAATTTGTGACGATAAAAAATATATTCAATGTACCTTCTATATTCGATACAATAATACAATGTAATAATATAATGAAATGATGAGGACCGGGGCGCGTGTGATAACTTAACCCCAAAACAACCCTCTTTTTAACGCCACTGGTCATAATTATATTGTTGAAATATCGTTTTCCCGCGTTCTTCCGTCATCCAACACGTGCCCCTTCATGTGTAATACATTTTTACGCAGTTATCGTAAATCGTTTCGGATATCGCGTGTTACCGTAAATAAAAGTTTGTATTATTTCTAACACTGCAGAAATGCGTTGTACTGCCGTTATACTACTGGTTTTGCTATACACTGCGTAGTAGTATGCTCGGTGAGATAAAGAAATCAGGAAATAAGTAAATAGTAAAAATAATCTCGGAAAAAATTCTCGTTCGAAAAATATGCTATGAATATATTATACTTGTTAAGGGATTTTTTCTTCTATATTACGGCACTTCATAATATTATGTGGGGCGTGGGAAAAATAAAAATAAAATTATACATTTTAAAGTAACATCATAATATCAAAGAAATATTTGTATTATAAACGAAGACAATTAGAAAGCAAATAATTTAAAATATTTAAAAACATATCTGTTATTATTAGATTTTGTACGGTTGCATACGGTCGAATACGAATGTCAAATATTTATAATATTTATATTATTTATTTAAGAATTTAATTCTCAATTCAATTGAAAAATAATTGGTGCCCTATATTTGGTAGAACAATTTTTTTCAATCATTATAATATTTAGATAAGGAATATTAAAATCAATATTATCATTGATTAATGGAGCTAAAACGCGTGTTATAATCGTGTAGTTGAATTAATATTTGCAGTATATCAAATGGTATTTTCAGAAAATAAATTGTCACAAGCTGTAACAAAACGAAAATAAAATGAGCGAATTAATTTTACTCGCAATAAAAGAAGAACGTTGGACGTATTTGAATGATAATCCTAACATTTTTTATACACTTATCTTGGTGTGACTGGTTTAGAAAAATACGTTTTAAAATTTATTGAGAACTTTAATGAATTATCAGTCGTATAACCAAAAACTAGCAAATCTATCATATATTTCTATAATTTTCTTTCAATTTAGCTCTGATCACGATATTGAAAAGTATATTTGCTCAAATATTCTGATTGTTTGTGACAACTTTTCTTCTAACCATGTAATTTCGAATGGCTATTCTTTATTTTTATTTCAAAATCTATTGGTGATAATTGACAAGGTCTTAGATATTTGCAATGTATATTCTAATATATTTAAATATCTTTTTTCTTATATCAATTAGTTTTTAATAATATCAAAGAATCTTGGTTGATTTTCATATAACTGAAATGTTTTAAAAATGTATAAAATAAAATGGTACGTAATTATTGGAAGCAGTGAAGTTTTAAATTACATGCATTGGTTATTATTAAAACTAAATATTTTTTATCACGAACTAAGAATATTATTTGTAAGTTATTAGTGAATTTTTTTTTTTTGTATTCTTGTATTTTAAACTATATGAGCGCACTGAAAGTTCTGTGCAAATATTTCTAATATCAGGAATGATATTTATATTTAAGAATTTTTGTATAAGTATTGTAAATATTAAAACTATCAATCTGTTATATGATATTATTGGTGTCTATTTATTATTTAAGAAAAATAATACATATAAACAAAAGAAATATTAATTTATTTCTCACACCAATTGAAATTTAAAAAAAAATGATTTATTAACCGGTAAATCGATATTAATTTAAGCTACACTAGAGTAAATTATTTTAAAATATATGATATACGACTGTTAAAAAAAAAGTAAGAATCTGGATCCAAATATCTGTGCATCATTTTTTTTAATAGTGATACTTGAATTATTCTCAAATATTTTAATCTATTATTAACTATATATATTATATATATATTTACACAAATAATAATTCAAAGTTTCAACGTATCATAAAAAAATATTAAATACTGACATTTCGAAAGTATAATTTGTGTTGGGATTTGGATTTCATATAATTAAAATATGATAAAATATATTTATATTTTATTATTTGTGAATTTATTGTACAATAAACATATACTTCATAGTAAAAAAAAAAAGTTACAGTAGTTTTAAATTGTCTACATTGAACTACTTAATAATAATGATGAAATATTAATAAGATAACATTTTACTTTAGAACATTATTTTATAACTTAATGAGTTTACTACTTAAAAATCATCGATTTTAACAAACAATTCTAAGTAGAAATTCTGGCTTAAAATTTCGTGTTAAAAATTATACCAATTAAGAACTGATGTTGTTTTTCTAATGTTACATTCAATATGATTGCTATTATTTACATACCTTGAATCTTTTGAAATATCCGTGAGTTGGTTAGATATTTATGGTAGATAAATGGTTGATATTTTTATGACATAAACATATATGTTTAATTATATTCCTCAAAGTGCTTAGAAGAGGTGCATAAAAAGTGGTTAACACTTTAATGGATTATTAAGAAAAAAAACAGATAAAATAATTGTAAAACTAATAGACAATAGTTCATTTTAATAGAACGTTTAATAAATGATAGTAAAATACTTACAATTCTCTACAAAAATTTCAATATTATATAAATAACTGAAATCAAGTTTACTGAGAAAAATAAATTTGAAGTAACGTAATAATGTAAACCAGTATAGGGATAGTTCAATTACGAAACATTTTAGACATACCTAATTTTTGTACAGATTAACAAATAATTGATTTTTACATTTTAAAGGTAAATATAGAAATAAGAAAACATTTTTTAAAACTATTTTAGTTGAATTTTAATGCAAGATTTTATTATTTGATTGAAAATAATGTATATAAGAGTTAAGATTATTTTTTTTTTTATGAAAATTATAGATTAATATAAATATAGTGCACATACAATGTTAATATTTATATTTTTAAAATAATTTAAAGGAAATATAATTTATCATATTAAAGTTTTTCTTAATAATATACTATTATATAATATTATTTTTCTATCTATTAAAATGCCTACTTATATTCAAATATCAAGATAATAATATATTTTACTTAAATTATGCTTGAGTTATACCTTAAACCATATATAATGTCTTAAAAAATGACTTGTAGTTTTAAATTATATTTGATCTTATACAAATTTATTTAGTCTATTGAGCCACACTATTTGTTTTGTTAGCTCAATAATAGTTTGGATAAAATAAATATACGTTTATGTGTCATAATTTATTTGTTTTGGATGATGATAGAAATAATATACTTATACTATAATATTATATTCAAACATGCATGACTTTAATTATTATCTAAGGTAGTGAAATGCAATATAATTTAATTAAGTATTGTAAATTTTAGTTCTGTTGATACCGAATAAAATGGCAAAGCTACAATAAATTTTGTTTATATTATTTTCAGTTGCTATTCTTCAAATATAATTGTAAAACTAAATTCTTGGCCATGGATACATTTTGATATTAGTGTATTTCTGTGGTCTTAAATCAGCACAAGATTCACCCCGGAAACGTGTATACTTTGCCAATTAAATGGGTAACGCCGGTGCAACGAGAAGGGGATCGATATTCTCTAAGCAAGATTCCACGGGCGATGAAGGTTCAACTAGACACAATAAGCGGCTGTCAAGCAGACAAAATACTCTTTTAGAAGAAGAGGAGTTTCCGCCTGAACCACCAGCTTCTCCGCCCCCAGAACCATTAACCATGCGGCAGAAGGAGTTGTTAACTGAAACATGGAAGCTGCTAGAGGAGGATATCGCAAAAGTTGGTGTCATCACGTTTGTAAGGTATGCACTAGTATAATATTATGTGCATGCATTTTTACAAGTGTGGATTCATATTCTGAGAAAACAGTATGAACTTAGCGTATTTTCAATAACTATAATGACCATTTGTGTGCGTGAGGTTCACTTTTTTGCATTATAAATTACATAAGTGTATACACGTTGTTTTATAAGGATACTATGTACAATACACATGCTGACCAATTTAACCAGCTACATTTTAATTATAATTACATTATTTTAAGTACATTCTCTTAAATGGATTACCCTGTTTAAATTTAAAGTAAATTAATTTTAATTGAATAAACAGATTATGCCAAACGGGTGCCTTTGAATTTTATTTGGATTTTTTTATTTGTGAAAAAAGGACAAGAATAGACTCTAATTAATTTAAACCCATTTAAACCCTTTTTCCCTTTATACACTTTTTATACACAATTTCTATTTAGAAAACATCTATTTTATATCCGGTCGCAGTATTTTTTTCAAATAATATTGATTAATATTATTTATTTCTCCTTAAATTGAATTTATGAGAAATAATAAAATCTCGATTTATGTATAAGGTGTTTTAAAAATAACGCACAATTTAAATCTGCTATAAATTAAATTTATTTCTTTTAAAAAAATATAACAAATATATTATTCTCTTCAAGAGAAGTTAAGATTTAACAGTGAAAAGCAATATCGTGCATATGACTCTCCCTACTAGCCCTACGGTCAATTATTCTTTCATAATATTTACTATGACTGTATAGCACATTGCCCCATCAAGTTCATTGAGAATACGACGAATTTCTTGCTTAAGTTCCAAGACATTTCAAACTTTGTTCTGGTAAAATCGTGATTTAGTGTATCCCTATAAGAAATAATCACATGCCATCAAATCGCAAGATCGAGGTGGGTAACTTTGGCCACGCAACAAGATTAGTCTGTCCGGGAAATTCCCACGCAGCAGAGGGATTGTTTCTCTTGAAGCGTAACAAAATGCGCCGTATATTTGTAAACATACAAGAATACCTACTGGGCTCAGTAATTTTCTTTGGCCTTATTTGGACTAAATGAACATCAAAAATGTTTGGTTTCAACTTGTCATCCTCAACGAACTTGATGGGGCAATGTGTCATCCAATGGTTCTAAATTTTATGGAAAGAATAATCGCCTGTAGGGCTAGTGGGGAGGGTCATATGCCCGATATTATTTTTCACTGTTAAACCTTAACTTCTTCCGAAGAAAATGATATATTTGTTATGTTTTTTAAACTAAATAAATTTAATTTACAGCAGATTTGAATCCTGCGTTCTTTTTGAAACCCCCTATATATATATATATATATAAACATAATTAACCTTATAAAATTCTGTTTGAAATGTTTCAAAATAATGTAAAAGCAATGTTTTTTTTTAGAAAAGTACACATCAGTAAATAAATACATTATAGACTAAAAAGTATATAATATTGGTATTATAGTTTGTAAAAATAAATATATAATTTTTGTTTTTAAATTTTTCCAAATCAACAATTATAAAACTAAAAAATAAAGAGAAAGAATGTCATGAAAACATAAACAAATAAGTTAATATATAATAATTACTATTGGTATGACTTGTTGTTTAGAACAGACCCTATGAAGCTTCATTTACATAGGCTATATTGTATAATTTACACTATAACTACAGGACTACTGCATTTAAATTATTTTCTGTAAGCAACATTTATTTATGTATACATTATTCAGATTGTATTGTTTAAATTTCATCAACGCATTAATTCTAAGTCATTGAACGAAAAGTTTTAATTCAAAGTTTATTTTTAGTAGTAAGACTAAAATTCTTATAGGTCTTGAGTATTATAAAAGAAAAAAAAAGAAAACTAATTATGTTTGCTCAACATAAAATATAAAAATTTTAGATTTTGATTTAATTATAATAATTAAAAATTATTATTTAAATAACAATAAAATCAATAAATTTATTTTAATACTCAGAGTAATAATAAAATAAATATTAATCTAGTATTTAACAAAAATATATGTCTAATTGAAGTATAAAACAATGTTATAAACAAATTAAAATCTATTTATAACTTTTTGGTAATAATTAATTTTATGAATCGTTGTTAATGTTGAATTGTTGTTATTTAATTTTCAAAAATAACCAAATAGTAAGACCAAACATTTAAAACAATGCTTCTCAAAAAGTATAGCTTCCGATGGTTGATAAATTATAAAAAGAGATAGTGAAATATTATTGTATTAAATTAATATTTTAGAATTTATTTTCAGCAGTTTAATAACAAGAATAATATTGATAATTCATAGTTGTATAAAAACGAATCAATCGAATTTTTGTTAGTAATTTAGTTTAATTTATAGTTATGTATATATTTAAAACTAATTTTATCGTATTACATTTATTAACAATATATTTCGAATAATTATATTAAAAAAAAAAAAAAAGTATGATATTTATAAATAATCTAATCTATTATATTTTAATTTATGTTTTATTTTTAATTACCATTAATCTAGATGCTTATGGCAGTAATTTTGAGTTCATCAATTGACATTTGTACTCATATTTTCTCATTATACTTTATTATATTAAAATTAGTTGTAGGTACAGTATCTTCAATTGTAATGTTAACAATTTTTGTTAGTTTGTGGTGAATATTTCTGTATAAATTTTATAAAAAAAATTTGTAATATTAAATTAATTAAAAAATTGTATATAACTTCCAAGTAAAACGCTATAATATACAATAATTTTTTTATTTTATTTATTTTTTTTTCACCTATACAATATTTTTTAAAATTTTCATTGTTTATATAATAAATTTATGTGTTTAAAGAAAATACAATTTTTCATGTTTGTAGAGTCCATAAATATTTATAATTATACGAATAGTAAAAGCAGTTAAAATAATAGAATTTCGAAAATTACCGATCTAGAGTATTAAATTTATAATTTCAATAATTGTTTCTTGAAATCATATTTCATTTTATACTTAATTAATTATTCTAATATATTTTTAGTATTTGAAATATTTTGATGTTTGGTTTGGTAAAACTATTTGCTCATTGCTTTTTTTATCTATAGTAATCTGTTTGAAATATTATTCTAGTGAGTGCATTGAATACTTTTGAAATAACGTATGAAGCCTTTTTTTTACTTTTTTTTAAGCTCTAGTGATACGATAACATGATTAGTTAAAGTTTCAACTAAAGTCTACAATTTTTTATAAGTATAGTTTCACAGTATTTTATTCGTTTATATATAGTTTACTGATATACGGTTATAATACAAACAATACATAGTTATATATCTCATAAGTGAATGTAATCAATAGCAAATTTATTCTTATTACTATATAGTAGCTATAATCAACTTTCTGAAACCATTTAAACATTCACAACAAATTATCAGTGTTGGGAATAGATAATGCAAAATGTATCTAGATAAATATGAAAGATAGTATGTTCAAATTCATCTAGATAAAGATAAAAGATAATTTCATTGTTATCTTAAAAAAGATATTTTCAATTTTTTTTATTTTTTAGTCAGTATTTCAAATTTGTAATATCTATGTAAATATCTATGAAGACCCAATTAAAATCATTATTATCAATAGGTACCTAGGTACTTAATGTTTATTGTAGTAATGTTGGGTACCATTAAGCAGTATTTATATATAATGTAGGTACAATATTTAACGATATTTAATTTCACTAAAATGTTACAAAAAAAAAAAAAAGACAATGAAAATTACTCTGTATGTATCAGGATGAATAAAGAATACATAAGAAATTATTTGAAGTTAACAATATTGTTTTCCATATAATTTTAATTTGATGATTTTCATTATTCTATAAGTAGTTACGACTTTACGGGTTCCAAGAGTGAAGTATTGACTATTCAGTGTATGAGTTACATGTGTAAACTAAAATCAAATACTTACTATATTTAGAACTTCCATGAAAAAATAAGAAATTAAATTTCAAAATAATAAAAAATATTTTTCTGACATAAAAATACAAACCAAATATCATACCATGAAATAATAATAACTTATTAATAATATACGAATTATGATTATGAATAAAAAATCTACAAAAGAAAGTAGGGCTAGTTAAAGAATTTATAAATCAAGAACAGCTGGACCAATTTTTATGATCTCTGATTTGTTGGATTCGTCTACGTACAAGAATAAAAATAATTCTAATCTCGGCAAGAATACAGCCAATTATTTAGATAAGTAAAAATTTTATTTTAGATATGTAATTAGATAACTTCGCGTTATTTATCTAGATAAGATAAAATATGACAAAAAAATCTATCTAGATAAATAATTTATTTAGATAATATCCAATAACTTATTTAGATAAGTCCCAACACTGCAAATGATTAATCAACTATTTTTTGAATATTTATAAAAAAAAGTGAATTTTTTCTCGTAATTAATTGTAATGAATATTTAAGACAGTTTAAATATCAATGTTATGCCTTTCGGCGTCACGCCGTGAGTGTATATGTAAATTGTATTTCCTGTTCGTTACATAATGTATTTTAATCATGTGTATAATACTATAAAATAACAAATGAAAGGAGAATAATATATGATATATAAGAATATCACCACGATTATTATATTGGAAATATAATATAACTATATTGTTATTATAAGTATGGTAATTGTTCAACTAGATATTGTTATTCCATCAAGCAGTATTACTCAAATTTTTCCAATGTAAATTCTTGTTGAGAAAAAATGTTACTACTTTAATATCATATATATTTACACATCGAATATTATTCTATAGTTTTTAAGTATTATAATACTAAACACTCATAGTATAACTGGGTGGAAAATTAGATACTTAGGTATAAAGTACCAAATATCTGATAAAATTATGTAAATTGATTCAAAGTAGACTTATAATAACACTTTTGATGGGTGTTTGGCTTAACGTTATAAACTCAATATAAATAAATGACAATCAAAAA